CTCTTCCTTTTTTTTTTTTTATTTTTTGACTACATCTAACATCAGACGTAGGGTTGTATTTGAATCATATTCCTGACTCATAGCCTTTGGCTCTGAAAACCCTTGGCATTACATAAGTGAGAATTGCCCAAAGCAAAGGATTTTCCTTCCTGTTAATATTGTAATGAGAAGTAGAGTTACATGACTATCACCAGCAAGCATGGTGCTACTAAATTTGACTGAATTATTTTAAGGACACAAAAAAATGTTTATATTGCACATCTCATGCCCCTGGCTGTCTACTGAAGATCATTTTAAAACACAAATATATAGGTGTTGAGTATAACTCCTAGGTGCTGTAAAAACATAGAACAAAATTTCTTCATGTTCAATATACTTTTGAAATAAGAACCAAATGATTACTGAGTAGTTTATGTTGGATGGGAAGGATGTTTGTAATGGAATTAGAAATAATTTCAGAAAAAAAAAGATCCTGAAAAACAGTAAAAACCAAAATTTGTGGAAAACTTGTTTTCGGAGCATAAGCATGATAAATGTGATGTTCATCTCTTCGCTTTTAGATCTGCTAAGTAATTTGGAAAGGTCAGTGTGATAGCGTATTGTGCTTAAAACATAATAATGTGTTTGAAGGCTTATGTTTTACTGGCCAGTAGACTTTACAGCCTAAACAAATTCAGCCTATGTCTCTCTTTAAACCAACTGCTGCTGGCTTAGGTCAAGAAAGATAAAATGGAGATTACTTCAGTGTGATGGAAACCACCTGTTTAAATCTAGGGTCTCTGAGAAAGCTTCCAGGTCTGCTTTCAGAAAGGCTTCATGAGCTACACCTGATAAATTAATTTCTCATAGTTGACAGTAGCCCCATACCAAAGTGGGAGTTCTCAGTTGAATTATCAATTTTGCTTGCATCCAGTATATGCAGAATTTCCTGTGTTGAAGGTAAGCCCAGCCCCTCACTTTTCCCAAGATTAGGAAAGCCACGGTGCCATGTGGAAAAGCCATAGGAAGAAGCACTATCAGAAATATAAACCTGCAAAATGGATCTAGGAAAGGGAAATGGTGACTGTTCATGGCAGCATTAGGAGAAAAAGAGCAGAAGACCGTCAAGAGACGTTCTGCAGAGTTAATGGAGAATTTTCTTGTTTTAAGTGCATTTGGGTTAGAATTCAGGATTGATAGTTATATGTCTGTGTTCAACAATTGGGAAACAAATAATAAAATATATATTTTTTAAATTTTATAATTATTTTTATGAAAATACTTTAAAATAAACAACCTGCTTCTCTATTTTACTTAATGGAAATAGATTTGAATGGTGCTTGTCAATGAGGTAGCATACATATTTTCCTGATTAGTAAATGATGGCAATATTTTAATTGTTACTATTTTGCAATCTTTCAGGTGGCTATAATAGCAGGAAATTTTGAGCTTGCTGAATACATCAAGAATCACAGGGAAGCTGATATTGGTAAGCAAAATATTTGCAAGTATTGAAAATAAATTAGAATTCATGTTTAAATAATAACTTTAGAAGAAGTTAAATCTGATCTTACATAAGATATGACAATGAGACTAATGATGCTATTGTTTTGAAGTAATTCTTATTTACAAAGGAAGGTAACGTATAAAGCTGAATTGTTTGCAAAGACTTTGAAAAAGAAAATTTGAAAAGTAATGCAACAGTTGCAGATGTTTTATGATTGTGAATATGCCAGTTTGTGACAGAACATGCACACACCTCAAAAGAGCTAAACCGGCTCTTCTTGCAACCTGTTTTGCGCTGTGGCATCAGCCAAAGCAGCTCTCAGGTGAGTGTAATTGATCAGAAGATCATGAAGAAAGTTGCCTGTGTGGAATGGAGTTAATGTATGGCAGAAATGGTCTATCCATATCCTTAAAACAATATCCTTTCCCTGAGGCTTGTGTGAGGGACTGAGATGAAGTTGAGAGCAGTTTTCTGTGACAGACATTAAAGTTCCTTTGAGAAAAAAAATTAAGGCTTTTATAAAGATCTTCTAACATGGAGCATTCTGCCAGCGGGAAAAACAAAAACAAACAAAAAAACATCAAAACACCCTACAAATTGTCAAAGTAATTACTAAACAATTTATTTAAAACTAATTAAGACAACTAAAGCTTTGCAGGTTTATGCTCAAGTTGAACTAAAGAAGCACTCTTTCTGTAATAGGTGGGTCCATTTAGTCCTATACACTGATTGAACTCAGCAGTGCACATATGTGACTTGGTAGTGCTTAATTTCTGTGGAAAACTATCCTAGCTCACATGAAAGAGTTTTCAAATAGAAGGTTGTTTTGGGTTACTCTCCTTTACCCTTCCCTTCTCTACTTGTATATGGTCTGCAGGCTTGTTTGTAAGTAAAAGCTCTACAAGGTGCTGTGAATTTCTGTCAAGTGAGGTGGATAAAACTAAGGACATTGCATGAAAGTTTGCCATAAAAGTTCATAAGTCTGCACAAAAGTTCCTAGTGAATTTTGAAGGTTTTTACTTAACGTGATGGATACTTTCCATGCAATACGTCTTCCTTCTGTGTCTATAAACAATCCTGGTGTAAAAGAATAACTGAAGTGAACTAGCTACTTGTAATATGGCAAGAGTCTTACTACTGCTTATATTTACCTACATCTAAGGATGAAGTTGAAATGAAAGGAGAAGATCGGGTAGATTGAAGTGTTCGCTTTTTATCTGCTAGGCCAGGTGTTTTGACTTGCATGTCGCAAGAACAATTATTGCATGCAGAACAATGCACAGTATTATGTTTTTCTGTTTTTTTTTTCCTGACTGGCTGGGCCTGTGCTATTTTTCCTTCCCCCAGTGTTTCCAAGTCACATCAAAGTGTGAGAGGAACTGGAATGTGGTTGAAAAGTAAATGGATGAGAGTCAGCTGCAGAAAGAAATGAGACTTGTATCTGAGACATTATGCACAACTTGCATAATGTTTCTGGCTATCGTTATCATTCAATGTTGCTGCATGATTTAGTGATTTCTGGGAAAAATGATGAGAAAATAACTTCTCTGGAAAGATTCTCTAAATTTTGCTGATGCCTTCATTTTTCCACTGAAAAATGGAAATATTGGTGCTGGCATTTTTCGAGGTAGATTTGTGACGCTGTGGTGCTGGTTTAAACGTAACTAATTAAATTGGTAGGTTGGTTTTAAAGAGTAACCGTTACTTGATGTGATGTCTTCACAGCTAATTAAATTGAGAAGGGCTTTTGTCCCTTAACACTTACTACTTAAAGACATCAAAATGCTTATTTCTGGAATGTCTTTCATTAAATAAATGAAAAACAGTATTCTGAGCAGAAATCCTGACAGTTAATGTGGTGATGAACACGCAGAACAATGTCAGCATTTAAAGTTTAACAACTTGGCTTTTACTTATCATGTTCCTGTGGTTATGTCTATATTCATGTAGTTTTGGATGTGTTCCAACATACATCATTTCAGTAATGCACCTTCTCAGAGCCCCGAGGCAATATCGTGGGAAGGAACAGTGAAGAGCTGGAGTAGTACTCTCCTGAAGATAAGAAGGATAGATAGGTTAGGGAGTCTCTTGAGGACTATTTCATCTTTCACTCCTCAGAAAATGTTACAGACTATTTTCTGTTAGACTAGACAGAAGGCTTTGATTAGGAATTGATTTATTAAACCTTGTTATAAATCTATAATCATATAGTAATCATAATTGTTTTGTATTTTGTAATTATTGTAGACCTATATAGCAATTGACAACAGTGGCCACTTTGGGAAGATCTTTGGAATATTTGCAATCGGCGGGGGAGGGCCCCCTTTTCTTGGTAGATGACAAGCTGTCCAGTGGTTTAATAGTAAGCTTGGCCATGGTTTTCACAGTAATTCACAATAGCACTCACTGGAAGGAGAGGGTTGTGTTAGAGACATTTTTAACTCTTGTTTTTATGTTAAGAAAAAGGTCTTTTTGTTTTTTTATGAGGCATTTGTTTTTAGAGAGTAAGAGAAGGGTATGCACACATTCTCTTTGAATTACAGTAGAACACGGGGAAAAATCTTTTTTACAGGGACAGTAGGTTCAGGTTTATTCATCTAGAATTTGTATTTAATGTATTTCTGAGCTTTCACTTAAATACATGTGTTTCACTAACCATGTTAGACGAGTTGGAAATCAAATGTCAAATACGTGTGCATTTGGCAGTATGCTCCAGCTGTTACGTACGTGCTGCAAAGAAATCCACATTGTTCTTGAAGGGTTTCAGACCTAATCTTGTAATGTGTAATGATCTTGATTCAATGTCTTTGGCTACAGATGCTTTTAAAATGCAAGCCTAATATGCACCTAAGTGCTTCTCCTTATTTATTTTCAGAAAGAATATACCTATCCTTTCCTGATTGTCATCTCAAGAATGGAAAAATATTAATTGGTGATGACAGTGGTGGGGCTGTACCTAACTTAATAATCTCAAGGACGATTTTTTTGTCTGGTAACAGCAAGTAGTTTTTGCTTTTCTCACGATGAAGTATGTGAAATATGGAAGTGAATATTTGCTCAAGATCTCTAATCTTACATAGTGAGGAGCTACACTATCAGAGTCCATCTGCTTTGACATGTGCTAATTAACATTATTCTTAGATAATGTTGTTGTCCCAAACTCTTGCAGTAGGAAGTCGCTTGTACTTTCAATGCAGAAGGTATTGTGTGGGTGTCTTCCAGTTTGTCAGCAGTCACAAAGCTGTTTCAAGTAGTGTTGCCAAAACTGCAATTATGAGGATCTAGCAGCCGTCATGTAATGCTTGTGAGTCACGGGCCTGTGCCACGCGTTGCCATGAATGAACCACAAGCTCAGTGGTTGTAATTACAGCTCGACCTCCTGCAGAACGAGGATGTCGCTGCCCGGGCACTAATGGAATTAGCCTGTAATGTGCCAGCAACAGAACCAGTAAGTCTCAGGGCAGTCGTTCCCAGGAGCCTCGCATAAATATACAGGCACTCTTAAGCGCTGGTTACATCACCTATTATCCATTCCACTTTTGCCTGCCAGTTGTATTTCGTAGACTTTTATCGTAGGATAACATTTTATGCTGTACACCAAGTCTAACACTGGTGAAAGACCCAGTTCTGTGCTTTTGTAACTTTTTTTTATTATTATTATTGCTAAGAATAGCCCTGTTGTTAAAGATGTAGGAGGTGCATCTCGAGTGGAAAATGACCAAGGTGTCCTCCAGCAGGCAAAAATGCTAATTTGCAGCAGAGCTACTAAATCTCTGTTCCTCTAAAAATACAAAACTCTATGGATCCAACCCCCTGATTGCTCTTTATTCTTTTTAATTACAGCGTTGCTTACCGTGGCTTAGCCAGATCTCCTATGAAAATGTACTTTCACCCAGCACTCCAGAAAGCTCTATCTTGTTGCTCTGCACAGAATTTTTACAGGGACTGGATCCTTTCTTATGTTGAGAGATAAAACATTATCAAATAAGCTGCTAATTATTATTCCTGAAGCTATTATTTTAGGCAGATTTGCTGAAATACTGAAAACTAGGCATATATAAAGAAAGATTCTTGGCAACAATCATAAGACTGTCTCTACTGCAGATTGAAGGGAATGTAAAAATACTTATTTTGGAACCAAAAAGGCCCAAATGATGGCCTGGGCTTCATTTGCTGGAATATTGTGGCATCTTAGCGAGGAAGAGGGGGATGTTCCCATGAAGTATGCAACGTCTGCTTTTCTCACTCGGATCTTGCTCCATCAGAGCCTCTGCTTAGGGCCGTGAGAGCATGTCTGTTCAGCCAGGGAATTTCAAGAGTGGGTTTAAAAACAAATAATGTCCTTCAGGGTTAAAGCTGTGCTTAGGGATCTGGTCAGGTAGACGTGTCCTGAGACACTGATAAGCAGGTGCTACATCATCTCACCTCTCTCTCGTTTCTGCGCTCTGGGAAACCCTCTGTCTTCTTGGAAAACCTGCCAGCGGAAGCTCACAATGAAATGCATGATGAGGGAGACCAGGAATCTAAGTCTATTTTGTGTTTTTATGACTGACTTTCAGTGCGTCCACATTCAGGCTAAGCCGCTCTTGAAGCGCTTATTTGCCTCTCTGGCTGCAAGCCCAGGTCTCTCTCTCCCTCAGTTTTGCAGAACCTGCTCCTCCTCATCCATGATAGCAGCATAAAACCCGTTAGCTATTCCAGCCTGTTAAAAAGCTGACCTTTTCCTCTGATCATGCAAAACCGAGTGGGTTCTCTAACACACGCTTTCCGACGTCAGAAATTGTTTCCTTCTTACCTTGCTGCTTTCCCCACATCTATTGCCAATTAATCTTTCTATCGCAGGTAATACAGTACGTATCTGAACAACTGGTTTTGAACCTGTGGCATGAGAACTGTTTAGGAGGCCATGCTGCTTTTGAGCTTGGTGCTGCCATTGTTGCTCTAAAACAAAATTAAAAATAAAAGGCGTACAAATGGCTTCT